TATCCCAACCCAAAAAAGCAAGATGTTGAATCTACTTAGAGAAACAAAATATACCCAAAGGTCACAGTTAAGAATACAGGATGGTATCTGGGGGGTTAAGAATTAACACGGAGATGGAAGAACATTCAGGTCAGCATGGGAAGGATCTGCAAAGGATGGTAGGTTGCTTATGTAAGATGAAAAACGATGCTTCATTTCATGGGGCGGGGGGGAAGCTATTCAAAGATAGCTGCCTTGATTAGCTTCGCCCTGCTGAGCATCTATCTAACAGCTCCTCCTCTTGCCTGCTTGCTTCCTGCATCTTTAATAGGTGATGAAAAGCTGCAGTGATGAAAAGCTGCAGTGAAGAGGTAGCCCTGTGCATGTGAAGAAACAGCAATGACAACAAGCTGAAATGACCAAGCCACAGAATGTTTCAGTTCAAACACAGGATATTTTCCTGTGCTCCTGCTAGAATTATAGGACAGCCTTCGGCAGCTGCTTTTCAAAGAGCTAACAGCTTGCATTAGACAGAAAGGCAGGCTCACAGTTAGTTACAACAGCTGTTTTCCCCTTCTTTACCAAGCAGCAAGATCTCCTTGCTTACTCAGCGGGACAAAATCCTCAGAGATGAAAACTAAGACAAAACAGACCCAAAGCAAAATTTCCCCCAAACAAAGATAAATTGGTAAATTCCAGAGAAAAAAATCTATTCAGGCAACAAGGCGAGATTAGTCAAGCAACCTACCTACCCATAAAGATATTTTCAAGGGTGAATACTGTTATTTTATGGGTAAAGTAATTCAAAGATGAATGAAAAAGTCATTCAAAATGAAGCCATTCAAAAAATGCATCAAACAAGGCACTGAGCAAGATGGACAAATCTTTGCTATATTGTAATATTATATTCCCTATAAGCAAAGGGCAGCAATGACCTTCAATACAGGCTTCTGTTGGGCAGGCCAGGGTCTAGGTGAGAGCTAAACTGACTCCTCCCACTCAAATGCCAGGTCTTCGAGAATGAAGGAGGGGGCACCTTAGGCTGAGGCAGCAAGTAAATGTGGATAGGGTGGGGGAAGGCAGCATCTCTGGGGTGGTGGAAGTGCCCGAGCACAGGTCAAAGATCCACAGCTCACCTCAGCCTGTGAGGATTCATATACTGAAAAATTTCTCTATACTATTTTTTAAAAAGATTTTATTCATTTATTTGACAGAGAGAGACAGCGAGAGAGGGAACACAAGCAGGGAGAGTGGGAGAGGGAGAAGCAGGCTTCCTGTGGAGCAGGGAGCCCGATGCGGGGCTCGATCCCAGGACTCTGGGAGCATGACCTGAGCCGAAGGCAGACGCTTAACGACTGAGCCACCCAGGCGCCCCTATACTATTTTTTTCTGACTGTGGTAACAAAAGATTAAACAAGGTAGCATTTCATCAGAACATACTTATTATATATTTGGACTTAATGTGTTTATGTAAGCTTATGAAAAGCTCATAAAACTATATGATCATCCTTCCCTAATAAATTTTAGGGCATAATGTGAACAATTCACATCAGATTACAAATATGAAGGACCTAGTAGCATGGAAAAGACAATCAATAAATGAATATATGTCTCTCTCTGTCTCTCTCTCACACACCACCACCACCACCCCCACATGGGGCCAGATTTCTTGCTTATAAATGACTTAATCTTTGGATTGGGGCATCCAGCTCTACCAGCTACCTTCTCCCCATCTCTCCTCCCCACACACCTTAAAAAACCCAAGTCCAGCCAGACTCTCCCCTCCTCTCCCCCAGCAGATGGGGTCATTCTTCCACCTCCTCCCCAAAAGAAAAGAACAGGAGAATCTTCCTGGGTTTCTACACCCAGTAAAAGGCCTCTGAGCTTCCCTTTTCAATACCAGGGTCAATCTTGCACTGTTCAAAACACTGAAAATGTGAGTGCCCTAGAACAGCTACTGCTATTTAAAACCTGATTAGAATATTTCAGGGCTAAGGAGGAATTATTCAAATAAATATTTCTAGTAAGGTTTTAAAGAAAGTCATGTCAATGAACTGGTATCTCTTAATACCTTGATCAATTACAGGAGCCTAAGACATTAACGGGAGTAATTCTGGTTTTCCTTTGACCTCAGTATTTTTTTCAAATATAAATTTGCTTTTATTATCTTAAACATTAAGAATAGGTGAAAATCATTGAGGAAGCTGAGGTTAGGGCAAAATCAAACAAATGACCACAGGATATTGATAAGTGAAAAAGTTTAGAAACCACCATTATAAGGACTGAGAATACAGAAAAGGATATATATACACATATACATATATATATAAATTAATATAAATATATAAATCTGTACATGTATTACATAGATATATAAAGTAAATTAATTCATAAGAATTTCAAGTTAATTTTTAAAAAGTCAAAGAGATCTTTTTCTGTCATACTGCACACAATTAAATTGGGGAGTTATGGTCAGTCATTTGATCTTCAGTGGTAAACTTACTAATTCAAACTCAGAAAAAAAACTGAACATTTGGAAAAACAATAAGGTTATCTTTTTCTAGCCGCAATAGGGAGAAAGCAGAAAGTGCCAGACAGTCAAATCAGCTAAGCCTTTCATAATGAGTTGGCTGAAATTACTAAATAGATTGTTTTAACAACTTTCTTCCCTTACTACAGAAACAATATAGGCTCGACATAGAAATCTAGAAAAGACAGTTGAGCAGAAGAATAAAATACAAACTATCTGTATTACTGTTCTCCAAGATAGCCACTGTCTGCATTAGTTTTGACCAACCTCATTTCACACTAAAATTCTAAAAATTAACATATGTGATTTTAAAGAAAAGTTATATGTATCTAGTTTTGATTATGAACTAACCCTCTTAAAAAATTTTTAGTACCTCTCACAGTGCCTGCCTCATACTACATACCAAGTAAATGCATAAAATATATTACCTTATTCTCTTTATTTTTCAACTTTTAAATATCTATTGATTTCAGTGATGACTGCGGTCTTCCAAAGGAAAACTGGAAAAAGAGTTCTGGAAAAAAAACTCCTAAAGGAAGTTCCTCTCCTCACTTTCACATGTTTATCCTTCAATTTTCTTTATTACATCAAATAACCAAATTGAAATCTATAAAATTAATCATATTAAGAATTACTGTTTAATATGCATAGGGCATATCCTCTGAACAGGAAGCATATTTTTCTCTATGCTAAGTACAAAATATATTGCAGTCACAAAATATCAAAAATGTAGTTGATATGGGGAGTTGATTACAGTGAATCTAAATTAAATTTTAAACATCATTTAAATTGATTTAATTCCAATAAAATTCACGCAGTCACTAGTGACTAATAAACTGAACTCTAATGACTCATATTCAGGAAGATATGTTTAGTTTCATATTCAAAATTTTATATTAAACTAGAACAGTGTTATTCAAATATTTTCAGGTATCAGGGTAACTAGAACTCATAGTACTTTTTGCAAACCACCTAAAACATTGATTAAACTTCAAAATGATTAATAACTCTTTGCAAAATCAGACCCCTCCTTCCACTAGATTTTATTATACCTGAGAAAAAAATATCAGTGGGAATGGGGAAGAATGAACCATTCTTTGAATTTAGTAGCAAGACTCAGTTCAAGTTACACCTCTGAATAGTTCAGAAGCACTAGAGAGCTACGAACAGCCACATTTACACGTGCAATTTAAATTGCACCTTTTCATGCCCTTTTCCCATTTAAAAATGCCAGCAGCACCTAATATCCCCAATTACCCACCACCTCTGATTTGCTTTTGTCTTCTGCCTTCAGAAAACAGATTTGGCTCGATGGAATAGCAATCTCGGGTCACCAGGGCCTTTAAGATAACAGAACTCCATTACTGACATACCACGTTCTTGCTGATTCCAACCAGTTAGGCCTGCCCGTAAATGGACTGAGCATCGTGAGGTATCATTCAAGACCCCCCTTCACTGGTTTCCCTGACTTCGCAAATCCTCCCTGATCTTCAGTTTTCTGAACTACTGGGGCTCCCATCCCACAAACCTATTACACAGTCTTGCTTGGAGTGGTAAATTGCTCACACCTCTCATCCCCACCCCAACCAATGTGCAGGCAAGAGTATATACTCTAGGTCCTTTCTATGCCAAACACACACAGTGCTGGGCAAACAACTCCGTAACTATCTGACCTGTTTTCCACTGATTTGTTGACGTCAGTGAGATGTCTGAGGTTTTATTCAATGCTCCTTTCTTGTGAATAGTTCCTTCGGCTGAAAAAGTAGTATTCTTTACCTTACAAAACTTTCTTTATGCCTTGTTTGCCTACCAGTTTATTTTCAACTCTTAACAAGGCTGGTACGGGGGCACATGGGTGGCTCAGTTGTTTAAGCGTCTGCCTTTGGCTCAGGTCATGATCCCCAGGTCCTGGGATCAAGCCCCACATCGGTCTCCCTGCTCAGCGGGGAGCCTGCTTCTCCCTCTCCCTCTGCTTGATGCTCCCCCTGCTTGTGCTCTCTCTCTCTCTCTGTCAAATAAATAAATAAAATCTTAAAAAAAACAAACAAACAAGGCTGGTACGTCACGGCCTTTAGAGGAGGAAACGTGCAGTGATAGTCAGCCCAGTGATGTGAGTGAATCAAGGACTCAGCAGAGTCAGAGTTCTGAAAGTGAGAACAGAGGCTGCGAAGAGGAGTATAAGGCAGCAGGCCCAATTCTTTTAGAAGGAACACTTAGCTCAGAGAAATCTAGAGCTGCTCTGGCTTTCGTTCTTTTTCTTGGCAAAATATGTTTAAAAGTATCTATCTCCCTCTTTCTTATATTATATTGTAAATTTTCATGACAAATCACAGTTTGTATGTATTTTTCATGCTGACAAATTTAATGTGCCACAAAATTTTTTAAATGAGTCTCTGAAAAGTACATCTATATATTCAAATTATAAACACAACTTTTATTACATAGAGGAGGCTCAAAAAAGAAAAACAAGAAATCACATCTCTTAGCTTACCATATATAGGGGAAAACATGAAGTAGTTCAGATGACAAATGTTATAGGCTTCAATTCTGACATCTTTCCAGATGCCCTGGGTAGGAAAGGACGGCCCCCAGTCCCAACTAAAGGAACTCTGCTCCTGTAATTTCAAGAGGAAAAAAGAAGACAGATCCTGATTACCATAAAATTTAAACATGATGAAAAACCTGTTCTTTTAAAATATTATATACATGTATATTAGTTTGCTAGGTCTGTCATAACAAAATACTATAGACTGGGTGGTGTAAACAACAGAAATTTGTCTCACAGTTCTAGAGGCTGGTAAGTCCAAGATCAAGGTGTTGGCAGGTCTGGTTTCCTCTGAAGGCTTTCTCCTGGGCTTATAGACAGCCACCTTCTCACTGTGCCTTCACATAGTCTTTTCTGTGTGTGTGTGCGCACACACACACACACATTTCCTCATCATTCATATTTGACTATCTCCCACACTGAAGGTCTCATTTTATTTTATTTTATTTTTTTATTTTTTTAAAGATTTTATTTATTTATTTGACAGAGAGAGACACAGCGAGAGAGGGAACACAAGCAGGGGGAGCAGGAGAGGGAGAAACAGGCTTCCCGCGGAGCAAGGAGCCCGATGCAGGGCTCCATCCCAGGACCCTGGGATCATGACCTGAGCCGAAGGCAGACACTTAACAACTGAACCACCCAGGTGCCCCTAAAGGTCTCATTTTAACTTAAGCACCTCTTTAAAGACCGATTTATCTCCAAACAAAGTTACACTTTTAGCTACTGACAATCAGGGTTTCAACATAAAAATTCAGTGGGGACACACAATCCAGTCCATAATAGTGTGTGTATATGTGTGTGTCCCATTCAGAGCATCTAAAATGGCCTACAATGATCCCCTCCTAGTATTCACACCCTGTGTAATCCCCTCTCCTCAAGTGTGGATTAGACCTAGTGAATCACTTGTAACCAAGAGAATACAGGAGAGGTGATACCATTTCCAAAATTAAGTTATAAAAAACTGCACCTTCTGTTCTGGGTGCTCTCTCCCCCTCTCTCCTGGCCATGAGGGAAGCCAGCTGCCATGTTGTGAGGCAGCTCTGTGGAGAGGCCCACATGAGTAAGTGAGCTTGGACGCCAATCTGAGGCCTACCAACAACCATATGAGTGAGCTTAGGCCCAGACACTTTAGGCCTAGTAGAGCCACGAGATTACCAGAGCCCTGGTCCATACTTCACTGTAACCTCACGACTGGCCTTGAGCCAGACGCACCCAGCTAGGCCACATTCAGATTCTTGACTGACAGAAACTAGGATAATAAATGTTACTTTAAGCTGCTAGGTTTTGGCATAATTTGTTATACAGCAATAGATAACTAATACAATAACTAATACATGAACCTATGCAACATAGTTAAGTTTCGCAGAAATGTTTTAAGAACATAAAATCTGATTTTGTACATTTATTCTTCAAAAGCATATGACCTTGAAGCAACACAACAGTCACTCTTTAAACTGCTCCAAAATATCTCCGAACCAACCATTGTATTTAACTGTAGTAACTATAAAGGACATTCTATTTAAGTGTAATAACTATAAAGAATGAGGAAACATTTAAAAATAAAGATAATTAACATGTTGAGGCTATGAGCTCAGCTTTTAAAAAGGAATAAGCACCACAGGAAGAACTAAGCTCTTTCTGAATGGAACATTTGTAGAATAGAGCCTGAGGAATTGGCCAAACTGTTCTCATTTAAGTATTATTTCCTAAGATCTGAGATAGAGATAAATTAGTTTCCATTACAGAGAAGAACAAAGAATTAAAACCACTTCAGAGCATTCACATTTGTCTAAATTCACCACTTCAGGATCAGATTCTCATGTTTGGAATGAAAACCATCTTGGAGCTATTTATTAAAGAGTTTGTAAGTTCAGGTATATAATTCCTTTGTTAGAGACAGGGATAAGGAGGGCAAAAATATTCAACATCTTATAAGGCAGACTATTTTCCCCATCAAGGGCTACAAATCACTCTTATTCATACAACTTCTTCAAATAAAAGTTTCCACTTATTCAAAAGAGATTTGTGAAGTGCTCTTTATATTTCAGGCTGGGAGACATCAGTGTACAAAACAGACAGTCCTTCCATTTATAGTGCTCACAGTATGGCAAGAAATTCAGGTACTGAATAAATAATCACAAATGCAAAAGACAGTGACAGGGAACAATATAATGGGGGAGAGGAGGGAAAGGTGTCTAGACAGGTTTCCCTGAATAATAGTGACTTTTATATGGAGATCTGAAGGGGAAGTACAACTTGTCCAGTGTGTTTAGGGGAGAAGGAAGTAAAGGCATCCCTTTCAAAAGGAACAGCGTGTGCAAAGTCCTTGAGGTGCAAGAGACCATGACACATTCCAGGAGATGAAGAGAGAACAATGGGAGGAGATGGGGAGAAGACAGGAGAAGTGGGCATGAGCCCACTCAGACCGAACTACGACCTGTTACTTTAGCCTAAAGGCAATGAGAAACTGTTGAACAGTTTTAAGAAGGAGAGTGCTACAATGATTTTTGTCTGAAAAGAGCATTCTGGCTGCTCTATGTAAAATTAATTAGAGGAAGGCAAATAAGGTTGTAGGCTGCAGTTAGGTGGCCGGGGTAATATTTCATGCAAGAAATGATGATAGACTGAACTCAAGCATGCTAGTAGAAATAGAGCATGGAAAGATTAAAGAACTATTAAAGAGGTAATGTCCACCTGGTCAAAATGACTTAGGGATGGATTGGAGGACGGATAAGAGAGAGAGAGGGTGTTATCAAAAATAACTCTTAGGTTTCTGGTTTGAGCAACTATTCCGGATGGCATTCCATTCAGCGAGACAGGGAAACCTGGGAGAAGGGTTTAGATCCAGGTGTTGGACATCCTGAGCTTTAGGTCCCTGTGAATCAGGCAAGTGAAGATGCCAAGTAGGCAATCCAGTATAAGGTCTGGAATTGAAGAGAGGTCTGGACTGAAGATACAATATTATAAGTCATTAGAAATTCGACTGGTTATTGAAGAAGTGAAGCTAAATGAGATGGCCTAGAGAAGGTATAAAATGAGACGAGGGAAGTGCTGGAACAGACCAAAGCATGAATAATACAACTTCTAAGAGGGGTAAGTTGATCTGGATAAAGCAACTTAGAAGGAACGGCCAGAGATGTAGGCAGAAAACAAGGGGGAGGTGGAGAACATTGCTAAGAGGGTAGCTGAAGGGATGTGCCCCACCATCCAGGCTGGACAGAGAAGGAAGCAGAGACAAGAGGGGACCTGTGTTGATACCTCTATTCCACTAACTTCATATAATCAGTTACACACTTAGAAGTCTGTAACTACAGAAATAAGTCTCCAAAATCAGTAATAACACTACCCTACATTTTGAATAGCTATATAGCACTTTATAATATGCAAAATGCATTTACATTATTATTTCACTGTATGCTCCTATCAACAGTCAAGAAGGGAAGGGAATAGCTCCATACATAAATGATGGACTTGCTTAAGATCGTTCTGGTCATAAAGCTAGAATTCAGATCTACGATTCCTGACTTGCTCTCCAGTTCAGGTCTCTTTCCACTGGACCGTGTTGGTCTAGCCAGAAACATCAAGATGCAATTCATTGCTCTGGTAAGTTTGCCCCAGGGTTAGTTTTGCACACACCCTGAGAGCAGAATCTTGGGTCTGATTCCTGATTTCAGTGATGAGGGCTTTGTTCTATCTAGATAACCTGAAAGTATGTTTGGGTTTTTTTTCTAGATTTTTTTTTTTTTTATTCATTAGAGAGAGAGAGAGAAAGAGAGCCCAAGCAGGGGGGATGGTCAGAGGGAGAGGGAGAAGCAGGCTGGATCCCAGAACCCCGGGATCATGACTCAAGCTGAATGCACATGCTTAAACGACTGAGCCATCCAGGTGCCCCGAACATGTGTTTTATATGCCACAAACTGAATGGGGGAGCGGGGGATAGAGGAAAACTACTACATGGATATATGCATAACATATATATACTTTTACTGAAAACCTGAAAAGTAACATTAGGATTCAGGAAGTCCTCATTTTGATAGAAGATTAAAGAGAGAAGAGGAGAGAGAAAAAGTGCAAACTCTAGTATTCAAACCACTGAGCCATTTGAAGCCGAAGGCCAAAAACAAAAGATGAATTTGAAACAGAAGTATAAGTACACAGTATTCCACAGAATAGCTGACTGCTCAGTTACAGACTGTTCCTTTATGGTAGTATGAACAAATGGGTTATACTGAGACACTGACACAAATTTAGGTAGGTTGAATAAAACAAGAGGAGGTATCATTTTGACCTTAGTACTTATATTAAAGAAACATAATTTAATGATAAATCCATCCAGCGTAGAGAGAGCCACTTAACTTAAATGATCAGAATTTATCAACCTAGGCTTTAGTGAACAAGTACTGGCAAAATACTCTTAGTATCTTCACAGTGAAACCGATGATTATATTTGTTGTTAAAACTAAATGCCAATTTCTAGGAAAATTTAAAATAGAATTACCATATACTCCAGTATCCCACTTCTCATTATCTATGCGAAAGAAGTGAAAGCAGGATCTCAAAGAGATTTTGGTACATCCATACATAGCAACATTATTCACAATAGCCAAAAGGTGGAAGCAACCCAAATGTCTATCGACAGACGAATGAATAAACAAAATGTGGCACGTACATACAATGGAATATTATTCAGACTTAGAAAGGAGGGAAATTCAGACACATGCTACAACATGAAGAACATTATGCTTGTGAAATAAGCCAGGCACAAGACAAATATGCATGATTCCACTTATCTGAGGTATCTAGAGTAGTCAAACTCATAGAAACAGAAATAATGGTGGTTTCCAGAGGCTGGGAGGAGGGGAAAATAGGGAGTTGTTATTTATTTATTTATTTATTTTTAACTATTTTATTTATTTATTTGTGAGAGAGAGAGAGAGCACAAGCAGGGGGAGTGGCAGGCAGAGGGAGAAGCAGGCTTCCTGCTGAGCAGGGAGCCCAATGTGGGACTTGATCCCAGGATCCTGGAATCATGACCTGAGCTGAAGGCAGCCACTCAGGCATCCCTGGGCG